TTCCTGCTCATCTCTGTAAGATAGGAACAGACATCACTAGCTCATGCACAAGCCATTCGAGGGAGGTAGGCATTTTCTCAAAGCACCTCCCTCCCCAGGCGTTTTAGGAACGAAGGTAAGGAAATCCCCCTCCCCAAATAAACAGTTTTTAAAAACTTTATTGTCTTCCTAGGAATAATGACATTTGTCAGGATACTGAGGGAAAGCTTGGGTTACCTGAAATAGATAAGAAAGAGCTGATGGAAATAGAGGCAGATGGGCCAGTGGGGGGAACCCTGGTCCTAGGCCCAGTTTCTTTTTAAATACATAACAGATAAAGATATTGTGCAAAAAAATAAAGACATTCACATTTTAGCAGTTAAACTTTTATTTTACTTTTTAAAATTTTTATTTACCTTTTTCTTTTTCTTTTCTACAAAAGGCAGATAATGATTGTTGATCTGCAATTGTTGTGTTGTGCGCTCCCCTAAAGGGGGCAAAGTTGGGAGCTGGGGCAGGAGCTCGGAGGATGCCTTCACTGGCGGCACTAAAGGGCGCGCCCCGGCGGGGCCCCCCCCCCCCCACCTCCCGGCCTAGCTCATGTCGATGGTGTTGAAGACCCACTCCGTAAACTTCTTTAGCTTGTCGGAGGCGTTCTGGGATTCCTCCTGCAGCCTCAGGTTGTCCTCTCGCAAGTGCTGAACCTCCGCCTGAAGGTGAGCTTTGTCTTCTTTTTCCTGGGAGGGCGAACAGAGCAGGAAAGAACTAAGAGGGTGGCCTCACCCTGCCCAGCCGCCACGAGTGGCTGTGGATCTGTGTGCGCCCTTCACCCGCTTCCCTCCTTCATTCCACTAAACAGCCATCTATGTGGCCTGGTGCTGGGCCTTAAGATGCTCCCACCCAGGGAACGGGACTCCCAGAGGCATCCGCTACAGGCTGATTTTGGAATGTAAATACATGACTGAGTAGTTTAATGTCTTTGTTAAGTTGTAAGGAATAAGGGCTGTCTTACATTTTAGACGATTGTTCTGGGGGCTCCTGTGTTACTATAAAGCCACTCAAGAAACAAACAGCATCTAATTAATTCTTTTGGTGCAAGAGCCTGAATAGCAGTGAGGACACGTGGGTCTGGGCTATGGACCAGGGGTGCGGAGGCTGGGAGAGGGCTGGCTGAGGTCTAAAGGCGTTCACAAAAAAGGGAACGTTTTTTCTGTGCGTGTGACAATGAAAGCTTTCTTGCACTATGTGTGTCCGTGGGAACCAAGCTCTAAGCAGCTCCCCAAACATGTGTTCGGAGAAAGTAGGAAAAACACCCACATCTTATTCCACTAACAAACAAACACTGCTGACAAAGGGCTCTCACGGTTCAAGGGCAGCTTGCGTGGACTGCGTAACCTGCTTTGAGAATATGGTTTACCTTCTTCAGATCTTCTCGCAGCAACTTCAGCATCCCTTCCAGCTGGTCCACTTTAGAAGCCAGAGTGGGAGAGGAATTTTTACTGCTGGGAACAAGAAACAAAAGACCTTGCTGGCAGGAGCCTCCATGGCTAGCTTTGTTTGGCACTTTTTTTTTTTTTTTTTTTTTTTTTAAGGAGGCGCCTGAATTTACAAAATGGTTTTCAATGTCAAATTACTCAGTATGGTGACACAACCGTGCATTTTCATTTTAAAAAGGAAGATGGCAGTCTTAACAAAAGGTAATAAAGTGCGAACTACAGCCAATCAGTGGCTTCCTTTGTTTAAGATGCTGCACCTTTGTGACAAAAGAATACAGGACAATAAGTGAAAATGGTCTCTTTGGCAGCACAAGAAGAACTTTCTGGCAGACACAAGTGGCCAACAGTGAAATGAGTATCTCTTTAGAGGCTTTAAGAGGAGCGTTGCCCCTCTGTGTGTGCATGTTGGCTGGGGGAGGGTTAGGGCAGGCTCTACCCCGGGGCAACCCAAGTATGTAAAGCCTGTGGCCACTCACCCAGTGGCGACCAAGTCATCGGGCCCACGTCTTAACTTAGACTAGTTTAAATATCTTCAAATGTTAAAAAAAATATGGCTACGTCTTTCAGAAGCTTGCCAGTCAGTCCAACCTTAATGTCTTAAGCTCTTCGCTATTATGATCAGCAAACTCTAAGTCCCACAATTTTCTTCTTTTCTCCTATTTCATAAGTGCTAAAAATGCCATGCCAGTTGAGCGTCCAAAGGAAGGGGAGTTAGAGGACGAGAAGGCCATGTAACCAGCCGGACAGATGACACAGCTCGGCAGGGGCTGAAGACCTGTCAACTCTCCCTCCCAGACTCTTCTCTACTTGAATTCAAGCTCCAAAAAGTTTCCAGGTGAGTTCTAGCCAGAAACACCACCTCAGCCTCACACAACCAAGAATCTGAAGGCTTCCAGGGAGCCAACTGGCAGCTGCCTCTTTCCAGAGGTCAAGGGGAAGAGGTGGTGACTCTGAACTCTTGGCGTCATGAAATAAAAGGTATTCTTTACATTAAAAATCAAAGTTCAGGTTGGAATTCCTGACCTAAAATAAGCTGCGTCAACGTCTTCTGCTAATTCTAGGTCTACAGCAAGCCCACAGTGGCATGGAGTGTCACAAGGCTGTAAATAAAATGGAATGATAATGACCTCCTCACTTCTAAGAAAGGCAGGATGACCAATTAAAAGCTGACAGTGAATGGATTCTGAAAGGGAAGTGGTCAGCTGCAATCCACAGCACCTCACAAGTAGGTCAGGTTTGGATGGGTTGAAGGCCAAAGACGTGACAGAATAAGAGTGGTGTTGAACAGAAAACACTGAGGCTGGGGACGGGGGCAGGGCTGTCCTTCACAAGCCGTTGAGTCCACAGTCCCCGCTCCTGGCAGGGCTGACGCAGCCACTGCAGGCTGTCAGTAACGGTCTGTGGCGTATCTTGATTTCTGAAGGTCTGCAAAATGAATTCTGTGACTGCGTGCACTGATGATCTTTAAGAACATATTTATCTCCATTTGCTCATCCACACCGAACAAAGACCCAATCGTCATCCTCATCTTAAGCTCCTACAGATTCTACAAAGATTTAGGAGCCGCTTCATAATCTTTCTCAGGGGAACAGTCTTTGCTCACTCAGACTTCTCTTCATCCTAAAAAAGGGACATTTGGGGCTCTCCCCTCGACTCTGCAATTTTTTAAAAAGTTCTCAACGGCCAAACTAACTGCCTCTTTCCTTCCCCAACTGTCCCAACAATAGGATAAATGCAGCATCTGTTACACTCACGACAAACGATCCACTGCTCTTATACTTCCTCTTGAAGAGGGGTTCCTTACAGACTTCCTTCAGAAGTCTTCAAGCACAAGTCGCCGGTATATCTGTGCAAACCTAGGCCAACCTCACTCTTGCCGTTATTGGCTGTTTGTTTCTGATCAAGTTTTCTAGATACCTGGATTCTTATCCATCATCAAAAGGTTTTAAGAAAGAGATTTCAAATTGATGAAATTATTCTCCATTAGGGAGGGCTTACTATGTGTCCACGGCTGACTGTTGGGATGCTTTAATATATAGGAACATCACACATTTATCCAACAACCTCACCATCTGAAACCGAGGGGGAAATGGAAAAGTCAGCCTCTACATAGTTTAGTAGAAGTCAGTCAGAGTCCATACCCTTAACTCAGACACTGCTTTTTCTTTTAACTTCTTATTTTACATAAATAAATCTTACCTATCCTGGTGACCCAGTTCTAATGTAGGTCTGAAGCAGAACGTTGGGAGCTGCTAAGATGCAGGCACATTTACAAGCATGACCAACTGACTGACAGCTTCAAAACTGACAGACTCAAAAACCAGACTCAAGGACTAAACGCATAGGAGTCCAAGGATGTTCAGCACAAATGATTTCTCTTACCTTACCTAATAAACCCCGAGGACATAAATGTACTAGGGCATTAAATAATAATGAATATTCATAATGACGACTTTTAAGCCATCAAGAACAGTTTCATGGTGTTTAGAGTATTTGGTTACAAAGCATTCGAACAAAAAGTGAAGTGTCTGGCACCGGAGTGATGAGCTTCATTCAGCTCATCCATGAGGCCTCTGTCGCCTCTTCCCCACACCTGCAGTCTGTCACTAGTGGAGGTGATGTGTGGTGTGGAGTGGTACCCTCACCACTGGATGACCAACCTGCTGTAAGACTTCATCTGGGCCAGAGCCTGCTCTTCAAGCTGGTCATTGTTGGATGCAGCACTCAGAGGGCGATGGTTTTCATCACTAGCAGCAAAGAACGAGGCTCTCTGGACTGAAACGGAGAGAAGAAACCATTCAGTATTTTGGAACTGGATCCTGGGCCCTCTCTAAGGGGGCCCTCCATTTCTAAAAGAAATGGCCTACACGCACAGTCAGATCTAATCAAGGGGCAGGAATCCATCGGAAACCTTATCTCCCAACCCTTGTAGGAAAGATTTTTTTACTGTTTTAGCTGGGAGAGGATGGTGGTAACATTGTAATTTCTCTTTTAAAAACAGTTGTTGTGACTCAACTTCTATTCCAGCTTTTCCCTTGCTCATAAAAGTACCATTCTATTGTTTCCCTGGAAACAGGCCTCATGCCAAATTTCCAGACTGATGCTTTCCACTCAGTGACAACATAAAACGCATTAAAGAGCTAAGCTTCTCGAGGCTTCCTCAAGTATGTTTTCCCTAAGACTCTTGGCCACCTTGGTGGGCTTTAGCCTAGGCCCACACCACCTCTGTTTCAAAATACACAGACTTCAGGCCAAGAAACAAACTCAAAAAAAAAAAAAAAAACCTCCCACTAAAAAACCAAAACTTCCTTGCAGCAACATGGATGGACCGAGAGATTGTCATATTGAGTGAAGTAAGTCAGACAGAGAAAGACAAATATCATGTGATATCACTTATATGTGGAATCTAAAAAAAGGGTACTAATAAACTTATCTACAAAACAGAAGTAGAGTTACAGATGTAGAAAACAAACTTACGGTTACCAAGGGGGTGAGGGGGGGAGGCATAAACTGGGAGATTGCGATTGACATGTACACACTACTATATATAAAAGAGATAACTAATAAGGACCTACTGTATAGCACAGGGAACTCAATACTCTGTAATGGCCTATATGGGAAAAGAATCAAAAAAAGAATGGGTATATGTATATGTGTAACTGATTCACTTTGCTGTATACCTGAAAGTAACACAACATTGTAAATCAACTATACTCCAATAAAAATTAAAACAAAAAAACAAAACAGTGATTTTATATGAAGGAGCGTGACCAACACATTGAAATTTACAATCAAGTTAGTCCTGGGGAATTGCCATCAGCTAAAATGGGGATTGACTGTTCACTGCTCTGTGGTTGTCTGACTTCTGAATTCCATGGCCTAGGCAACTGGCTCCCCCAAACTGGAGCTTGACTGAAGAGCAACTATCAATCCTTCCAAGTAAGGGCAATAAAACAAAAACTCAAAACCAATCATCTGCTAGCACCATCATTTTACAAAGATCATTTTAGCATCAAAAAATCGGGAAGGGCAACCTCAGAGTCAGTCTATCAAAAAAAGACCTCTGACAACCTCATGTCAACACACACAGCAATACTTTTAGTTTTTTTCTATTTCAGCAGAGCAGGTCAGCACGAGTCTAAGGGCCTGCATTGAAGGACCACTGGCTTAACGCAAGCACACAGCCAGTGGGGTGACGTAGGAACGAAGCAGGCAGAAAGCACACGTGCTACCACACACCCGAGAGATGAGTGAGAAGAGCAGAGGGAGGAGCCTGGGGCCGGGCCAAGCAGGACAAGCATCCTAACAGATCCACTGTGCGTTGAGCAATGACGTCTTCACGACGTGATAAACTCTTCCGGACATGTGCTGTTTTCATTCAAGTGACAGTTGGGATTCCCCTGCACTCTGCCCTTCTCAGGTACGGGGAGGCGAGGCATCCGTGAGATGAATTCCTATGTAGAGGAAACACTGGGTTCCACCTGATTAAATCTAACAGTGGGGGACCGTACCAAGTGCCCAAGAACTGTTAGCTCAACTGGTTTCTGGCTGCGATGGTAAAATGTGTGTGTTGTCAGTGTGTCCAGAGCACTCACACTGCCCACGACCTCAGTGTGGCCCAGCCTGGACCATCAGTAGACTCACCCTCATATGCCTTGGCAGCATCCACCAGGTTGGACCAATCCAAATCTGCAGCAGCGTCGGGCAGGGGCATGAGGCCGGGGTCGGGCATGGGCGGCCTTTGGGTCTCCTGGATGTCATTGAGGGAGCTGTCCGAGGCCGAGAACTCTCCTGCAGGAAGGGACAAGGGATAAGATGCTTCTCACGCCCACAGGAGAACCACTCAAAACTTTACCCATTTTCTGTTACAATATATTTGTAAGTCATTTGTTACCTGGAATCAGTTTCTAGTCTAACAGGCCATTAGTGGTCATTCTAAAGCTGAGTGGAACTGGGAATTGACTTCCTCCAACCTTAATTCACTTTTGTACAACCTCCCACTGTCCCATTTCTAGTGTGGTGAGTCTTGGAAAAGTCAGTCCTGCGCCGAGGCAATGTGTCTGCTTTGGCAGGAGCTGCTTGTCTACAGTGGGACCCAGGGCAGCTCCTCGTGTTTCCTCACAGAGTCGAGAGATTCAGGCTGGGGTGAAGGGACCTACTTCAAGAGAGGTGGGTTTTGCAGCCAGGCCAGGGAGGCTTGGTGATGCTTGTTTGAGGGGATAGTAAAGCTTATTTTTAACTGCACTGGAACCTGGGATCTGACTGCCCTCCATGTGGACTCCCTGCATCCCTGGCCCATGTCTGTCCTGTATCCCAGGAATGGCCCACTGGTTTCTGCAGTTGGATGTATCCAGGGTGGTGTGAGAACCAAATCAGAGCACGTGAAAGTGAGTGCTGGGTCACCCAGCAGAGTTAACATAGGTTAACTGGTGTTGGCATCCTCCTCCTTCCCAAGGACACGCTAAGCAACTCTTGGCATCAGTTTTCTTTTTTTTGTTGTTTTTTTAATGCACATCTTATATTCTTAAGTTCTTATTGGAGAATGTAAAAATACAAGGTACGATAGACTTCAGCAGTCTTAGTTGAGTGCCAAGAATAATACAGAAAAGGAAGATAGTTGATAAATGAGTTTATAGGGTTATAATCTTAAGTGTAAAAATGTAGAAAGACAAAAAGAAATGGTCCACATCAAAAAACCTTAAAAAAATTCAATTATGTAAACTTACGACTAAATAAATCATATTTTTAAAAGATGGTACTCAAGACTCATCCTGGTTGATTACATTTTTTTGCTATTTTCTATGTTGTGGAGGTATCTATATGGTGGGAACTCTATACAGTAGTGTATCTGTATACATCTCTTCCCAGTTTGCTTTCAGTGACATCACTTTGGTAACCTGAAATCAGCTGAGGTAGGAGTATATCTACACCACAATAACTGGCAAGTGCTGCAAGTCAGGGCCTTTGCCTCCTTCCAGGAGCTGATTGTTAAACGTTTACCAGCACAGCAAGAATCATACTTCCAATGAGGACAAAAAGACACTGAGAGATACTCAGCTGGGAAGTGATGCAGTAAACTTTGTTCATTGGGAAGATCTTTTTTTTTTTTTTTAATTCAAACAGAAAGTCACAGAAATTATAATCATCCTCATCAGTTCACTCAGTCCCATGTAATTAATTTTTTTTTCATCTTGATCTTTTGTTAGCACTTTTATGAATTCATCAGTTTTCCATTAGAGTTCTGAAAATGCTTATTCATTCAGTTCAGCAGTACAGTCAGTTACAGAAACCTGTACGTTTTTCGATTTACAGCAGCCCAACATCCCAAGCCCCTTTTAAGGTGACAACTTTTTAAAATACAAATATTAAACTACAGTAACAGCTAAGCTCTGCTTATCCTGGGGACGGGAGGAATGGGTGAAATGAGCCCCCCTGTGCAGTGGAGGGCGTGCTGCTACTGCTCAGGTTCATATAGGTGGAGGAGAGAGGGAAACGTAGCTCAGGAAATGAAGATGCTCTCAATGGGGCAGCAGCTGGGGCAGAAACGAGAGCAGAGCATGTGCCTCCATGAGAAGGGTCACCTGCACAATGTGACTGTAACACTAAAACTCATGCAAACACAAAGCTGAAAGTGAACTTCTCAGTTAAAATCTCTAAGCGACTCTGGAAATAACTGTGAATTAAAAAGTTTTGTAAATTATGATAGCCTATAAACCAGAGTACATTTAGCGCTTGCTTTCCCTTTCAAATTACATAAAGAACTGGTCTGAAGTGCAGTTACTAGTTATTAACGTGCTTGACATTAGCAAAATTATGAGTAAATGGACATCAACAAATGTTGTCTGATATTAAAGGCTCAGTTGTATTTAAACTTGCTCCCACCAAGGGTAAGTAGTTGGAATGATTTACAATGTTGTGTTAGTTTCTGATGTACAGCAAAGTGATTCAGGACATATATATATATATATATTTTTTCTTTTTTTCTTTTTCAGATTCTTTGGAACAATTCTGTGTGTCACAGACAACCCTTCTGCCCTTTTATCTCTGGGGCCCAAATTTCCACTTGGAAAAAAAACAAGTCGTCCATTCCCCAAACACATCTCAGTATCTCAGTGGTGGTCACACCAACGAGGCCAAGGCGTAGGGATCAGCCCCGCAAGGGCTGCTCAGTTTAGGGCGTGGGATCACTGTGGCTGCTGCCTGACTTTTAGGAAAGCAAGAAGAGGTGATGGAAGGAGCTGGGAGAGGGTGGCCCGCTCCTTCCCTTCCTCAGTGCCAGGCCTACTGTGACATGACACACGCAGACAGGCTTTCACAGAGGGTTTATTTTTATCCCTATAAAGGTTAAAAAAAAATGGGGAAGTGAAAGAAACATTCAAGGTAGGCAGGAAGTTGTAAGAGGAATGGAGTGCAGGGAGAGAAGGGGAGAAAAAAAGCCTACTATTTAGGGCACAACTAGGTGGTTTCTAGAGTCCAGATGGTAAAAAGTGGTCATTTCATGTGTCAGCTTTGGTTCATAGACAGTGACCTTTCAGAGCAAAGAGAAATCAGGTTCAAGCCATAGTTGGACCTCTTATAAAGAGGGAGGAGGGGGAAGCTGATGTGATTCTTGAGTGATGTCTGCCACAGGGGAGAAGGGAACTGTGTAGGAAGCAGGATGGAGATGATGGAGGAACAGTCATGGGAGTGGGTTGAAAGCTCAGAAAAGATACAGGGAGAAAGCAAACTAGGAAGGCAGGAGATTTAAAGAAAACACTGCTTCAGAGAAGCAGCAGAGGGAAAAGAAATTGGGTATAAATGGACATAGAGAGAGATAAAGCTGCAGAATTCCCTGAAGGAAAAAGGGCAGAAGGGAGGTGGGGTTACAGCCATATGTATGATAAGGCACACAGGTTCCACAATAGGTATCTGCTGTGCTGGGCAATAGTGGGAGGGTAGCTGCAGAACCCTGGAATGGAGTTGGACAGAGGAGAAAGAAAAAAAGCAGTTTTTTTTGGTCCCTGAATATGGCCCTTAAGAAAACTGGGATCAAGTAAGGTGATGGAGGAACAAGGAATTTATGAATCAAAGGGAAGAATACGGAGGTGCCCGGCATCAATAAGCCTTTTCCTAAATAATACTCACTCACTCAATGAATGAATGAGTCAACGAGTGGCCAACACCACAGCTAATATTCTCACAGCTGGGAAAGACAGAACAATGGTGTGGCTCAGGGAAGCCAGTGGATAAAATTCTCTAAGAAATAACTAATCTGGTGTTAGCCAAATTTGCCCAATCCTAACAGCAGCTGGGATGTCTGGTAAAAATACAATACAAACCACACTTTTGTATTCAAATTCAGCAGGTCTTGGGTGAGGTCTGGAAATCTCTATTTTTAGCAAGCATCCCAGAGGAGAGCTTTTACCACATCAGGAGCCCCAGTTTTGTGGCTGCTGCACAGTGGCTAACCCTTGATCGTCTGGCTCTGGAGCCCAAGAGGAGCTCATGTTTCTGGGTCCCATGGGACTCTAACACCTGAAGAGGCAGTTCTTGGCAGGCTACCCGGCCCACACCCCCCCCCCCCCCCAGGGCACTACCAGGCGGCAGACTGAAACACACCCCAGTCTTTCTGTGAAAGAGTCCTACTCGCTTGTCCTGGAGCTTTGGCCACAGACATAGCCTGTTTTGGCACATAGCCTGTTTTGGCACATTTAGAGGCCTGCAAGGTGCTCTCAGGGAACAGAGGCCAGTGGCACATTTAGAGGCCATCTGGCACATTTAGAGGCTAGTGGACGCAATCTTTGTGTTCTCCATCTGCCTCACTCCAGCTCACAGGCATCTCCAGAAAGGCGCTTATATATACATCTGGTGCCCCAGTACTTATGACTGCCACCCAGCAGACATCTCCAGGTCACTGGTGGTGGTGGTGGTGGGGTGGTGCTTATACTTGTGGTCCCATAGGACTGTACATATATGCATACTTTAAAAGCTGCTGCCTGAGATTCCGGTTTCCAATCTAAGTGATGACTGAGATCTAAGTGATGACTGAACCTAAGTGATGACTGAGATCCATCCATTGCAGACACTGACAGGTCTTGTCACACCCTCAGCTACTGGGGGCTCTTAAAAATAAACTAGGCTGCTTGGACAATCACAAAAGTTTGAGAGACAACCAAGAGCTAGGGCAGGGTAGGAAGATACGGTTCATCTTATACATGAGGCCACTCCATCAAAGCTGGGAGAGGTGGCTGTTTTACCACACACAGCGTCAAGGAAGACGAAGAAACAAAGGAAAATGTTCCAAATGAAAAACACAAGAAAAATCTCAGGGAAAATTCTCAATGAAATGAAGATAAGTAACTTACCAGATAAAGAGTTAAACATGATGGCCATCAAGATGTTCACGAAGCTTGAGAGGAGAAAGGATGAACACAGTTGACAACTTCAACAAAGACACAGAACGTAAAAGAGAGCACCGAACAGGAGTCACAGAGCTGAAGAATACAGTAACTGAACTGAAAAATACACTAGAGGGGCTCAACAGCAGACTAGATGAAGCAGAAGAAAGGAGCGGTGAAGTCTAACATAGGGTAGAGGAATTCAGTCAATCAGAGAGGCAAAAAGAAAAAAGAATGAAAAACAGTGAAGAAAGCTTAAGGGACATATGGGGCAACATCAAGCGGACCAACATTCACATTATAGGGGTCCCAGGAGGAGAAGAGAGAAAGGGCAGAAAACTTATTTGAAGAAATAATGGCTGAAAACTTCCCTAACCAGGGGAAGGAAACAGATATCTAGATCCATGAAGTCCA